AAAGCCTTATTCTGGGTAGAGAAAGGAACTTTTCATCTCTGCGTACAGACATGGAAGGAAACAATCAGTTCGAAGGGTTAAGTCAAGTTGCATTTGTATTATTTCTTTTTTTTTACCAAAAGCATCTGCCAGTTAAAACAAGTTAAAAACCCCCTCATGCCAGACTGATTAAGAACCAGCATGATCCAAATAATCCCACTAAATCATACTCTTACTTTTCTGACATCTTACCATGCACATAACCAAATATTTCTTGTGCAGTATTATTATCGTCAAGACAATAAATCTGCCACATCATTGTAAAAACCATGTGAATGCTCTTTCTGTCTTGGCAGAGTGGACTACGAACGCATACAGGCCGTCGGCCCCGACAGAGCAGCTTCAGAATGGCTGTTGCGATGTGGTGCCCTGGTGCGCTACCAAGGCTCTCAGAAATGGCAGCAGGACTACAACGGTCTCCCAACAGGGCCCCTGGGGAAATACAAGATTGAAGCAATTAACGCCACTGAGTCTTGCATCATGTACAGAGGATTTGACTATTTGGGTAATGTAGACAGAGCTCTGCTAAGATTATACTGAATCATCATTTTCTCGTTCCTTAGTAAGATATAGAGGATTTTTTTTCCCCTTCTATCTTTTTTTCCTTAAAATGGCTCTACAAATATTCAGCAGTTCCTAACATTTTGCTGGAGGTGTGGTGTGAAGCAGGAAAAGGTTGGGAACTGCATCAGCCCTTGCCTGAGGTGACAGTAGCACTAAGGAAGTGCAACAAAGATTGGCTGTTTCGTCGAGTTCATAGTTAAGTAGTTGGTAGCAAAAAGCACCACTTCAAATACTCTTTTTTTCTAAACCAAGTGATGGTTTTGGTGCTCTCCAGGCATTTATGATGTCTTCAAAGACCAAAAAAAAAAAAAAAAAAAGCAGCAGGCTCTCAGTTTCTTACAAAATAAAAAAGAGATTGTTTCAGGTCTCCTTTAAATAACAAAAACCAAATTGGGGAACAGACCATTGTATTTCCTTATTGAATTTCCTGTATTATACATTCCTAAGGCAGAGTTATTGTTTATCTCCCAAACTTGTAGAGCTTTTTTTGTTACTTGCCCATGTCAAAGCTCTTTAAATCTTACCAAAAGGCTACAAACCCTGGGGCTTTCATATATTTTAAGTACCGTAAAGGGAATTTGGAACTTCATTGTGCATTACGGCTCACTGTATAGAGGAACATGTTGCTGTGTGCTTTTGAAGGCAGTTACCAAATTGAGACCTTAACAACCAGTACAGGTTGTTCCTGGTACTCTGAAGCAAATACTCATTTTTGTCTTTCCAGATGGTCTCGAACATGTCACAGAAATCAAGTTGCAGAAGTGTATTTACATACAGGATGAGTGTCTGCAGAGGCTCAGTGAGACCAAGAATCTCCAGAAGAGTCTCCTCCAGCTGAAGATAATTTCCTGTGGGAACGTCACAGATAAAGGCATCATTGCACTTCACAAGCTGATGTACGTGAGCTACTGAGCTCTTCTTGCTCCCTATTGTTACCACCCCGCAGGTTTGGGACTATGTTGAGTGGAAGGGGTAAAGTCTGAATGTTTCTGGGCTATTTCAGGTGTGTGGGGCCGTGGGGCGGCTGGGCCTGGGGACTGACCTGAACCACAGCCTGGGAGGGACGGCACTGCCACCGCAGGCCTGCCTGAAGACAGTGTTGTGGCTGGCTCTGAAAAGACGTGGATTAACATACAGATATTAATCAGCCTGTGAAGGCTGGTGTCAGGGAGTTGCAGAGCACTGGGGTCCGCAGCTGAGAAAGCCAGAATCCTCTGCTGCAGTACGAGAATCCATAGTTGCGCTTCTGTCTTCAGAGTTGAGCGCAGCATCTCCCACTTGCACTTGAAGTCACTTACGCAGTGCTGATTGTTGCACAAATCAGAGCAGGACGCGTGCTCTCTGCCGACACACCACCTTCGCAGGAGCAGCGACCATGTACAGCTTCCTTTCACGTTGGCACCTCAGGCAGGTTTTGCTCGAGAATAAGTAACTAACAGCTGCCCTGGTTCCTACGCCTGACCCCGCTGCTGCAGCTGCTTTTCAAGGCAGGCTTTGCCGGTGTCCTGTAACTTCCACTTGTCTTTCTACACCTCACACTGCTTCCTATCACTTAGTTATCTCTGCGGGAGACTGTGCACCTCCGCAGCTCTGAAGCACATCCGTACGTGCTTTGTTCAACTGTGGCCTTAAAGCACCTGTGAACTGTTTAGTACTACAGGGAGTTAATAGCCATCTAAAATGGGTGATGTGGTGACTTGGATTTCATCCTACAGAAAGTTATTATTAAGGACTTTCTATATTACTCTAATTATTCTTTACATTAAAATAACTTTTACTAAAGTGCAATTATTTAATACTGTTTAATATGAGGGAAGCTTCATGATGTGGGAGGTCCAGGATGTCTTTTTAAGCTGTGTAGAAGGTGAGCTAAAAACTTTAAGCACCCACTTCAGAAAAAAACTTCCGCTAGAACCAGTAACCTTTTAAAATACTCAAAATAACTATGGTAGAATAATCCTTTGTCTAATTTCTGTGTCAACAGTTAAATAGTAGTTGCTGACTTTTCTTTTTAAATATTTATAGGAACCTTGAATATTTGTATCTGAGTGACCTTCCTGGAATAAGAGAGAAAGAAACTACCGTTCGTATCCTTCAGCAGGCACTGCCAAACCTGGAGCTGGAGCTGGATTTAGAATAAACACGCTTGCATGTAACTGAGATGTATTCAATTTCATAGTATTTATCATTTGTTGCGTAAATTAAGTTGTAGACACCACTGTATTTCCACGTATGGAAATAAGCCCAGATCTCCCAATCCAGCCTTAAAAGCTGCATGCAATCTTTTATGCAATTAAGTTTTATTAAGCTTAAACTATGTGGTGAATCAACAACAGAGAAGGCACGCTTCTGAGCATGGTCGTTTTTTCCCCTGGTTTTATAGGAAGCTGTTAATACATCAGTTAGTAGTTTTCAAATATTTTATAGCATTTATTGTACAAGATGAGAGTGGGAAGAAGGTCGGTGTTGTGAAAGAGCAGCGCTGTACGCCTGTATTGCATGCTGTTGGTGCTGTGGGAATGAGAGCGGTTTACTCTCCGAGAATCTCACCCAGTCAGCGGGTGCCGATTTAATAAAATACCTTATGGGCCTTTTTTCTGTTCTTCATGCAGTGACTCGCATAGCCTTTGGTGGTTTTAAATGCAGTGACCTCCACACAGGCGGTCTGGCCTTGCCAGAAACACCGAGTAGGTGAACTGAAGATTGCTGTAGTTGTGGAACAGGGTCTCATAGATACGCCTTTGCACGGATTTTTGCTGTGTGCTCACACAGACTAGATTAGTTCTGTGTACCTCTTCGGTTGCATCCATATCAATCCTGCTAAATAAGGGAACAGTTCACCCTTAGGAAGACTAGAGCTTTTTTTAGTCAAATTCCTGAAGTGGGGGTAGAGGAAGAAAAAGGCAGTTGGCAGCGACTCCCAAAAAGCAGCTATCATAGTGATGTCTCAGACACGGCTACCTCTGCATTGAATCCCAGACTGGTTTGGGTTGGAAGGGACCTCAAAGCCCATCCAGTCCCAACCCCCTGCCATGGGCAGGGACACCCTCCACTAGCCCAGGTTGCCCAAAGCCCCATCCAACCTGGCCTTGAACACTGCCAGGGAGCCAGGGGCAGCCACAGCTTCTCTGGGCACCCTGTGCCAGGGCCTCAGCACCCTCACAGGGAAGGATTTCTGCCTCACATCCCATCTCCATCTCCCCTCCTGCAGCTTCAGGCCATTCCCCTTGGCCTGTCACTCCCTGCCCTTGTCACCAGCCCCTCTCCAGCTTTCCTGGAGCCCCTGCAGGGACTGGAAGGGGCTCTAAGGTCTCCCCGCAGCCTTCTCTTCTCCAGGCTGAACCAGCCCAACTCTCTCAGCCTGTCTCCATAGCAGAGGTGCTCCAGCCCTCAGATCATCTTCATGGCCACAGAAAACATTTTTGCTCTAGGTTTCAAGTACAAAGAGGATGTTCCTTGCCCAGTAGTAAAATTTTATACAGTAAAACACATCCAGTAAATTGGAAAACCAAGCTACAGTTCTTTTATTCAAAATCAACACAATATTACGTCCTGAGATTATGCAAAGCCCACGAATCGTTCTCATACATACGCTTAGGTAGAATTCCTGCCTGTGTCTGGCCAATGTTATACATTATATTAATTGATTATTTTTACAACAATTTCTGTAACACTACAGGCAAGTGACTTCACTATTGACAGAAACTGCAAATAAAAATGACCTCATAATGCGAGGAAGAAACAGAGAGGAGAAGAAACAACAGGTTTTACTACTAATCTCTTCTCCTGGTGACAGTGCCCGTTGAGCCTTCCAGTAAGCCATTACCAGTACTTTTAACACTCTGCGATCTACAAATGCCGTCCGTAAGACAGAGATGCCTTTAGAGCAGTGCTATTTCACCAGGTTTCTAACTAAGCGGAGCAGTTAGGCTTGGCTCCACACATACATCTCCTACTGGCATTGGCTCTAGGCTTACAGCTCCTTGCAGGATCAGTCACTTAGTCCCAGACTAAAGCAGTATTGCTGTTTTGACACAGTGGGACTCCGATTTATTTGGCAAGGTTGCAGTTGTTCTGCCACGGCTGAAGTACAAGCATAGACAGGCAATGGAGCTTTTAAATTCACACTGTAAACACTGGGTTGCAGTAATCCTGAACCGGTATACAACCACGAATTAAGGCAAAACCAAATGTATTCTCCTTTGTACACAAAACACTTGGAGTTCTCTCTGTGCAGAACTTTCCTTCTGTTGCTGACCTGGAGTACGTTACTTCACAGACCACGTTTGTATATGTCGTAACATGTATTAATTTAGTTTTCCATCGCATATCCTCCTTTTATAAATTCTGAATGACTTTAACTTTGAACAATACATAGTTTTGAATCTCCCATATGGTTAGATGTTAGGGAAATGGTAGTTTGATTTCTTTGTTTTGCTGCAGTACTTCTTGCTGTCCAAAGCTGGTAGAACGTTACTGCTGGTTAACTGAGGCAGGTACTGTAACTGAAGGAAAAGTGACAGGCTGTGTATTCATTTGAAATGAGAACGAAGCACGCGTTTCATTTTTCAGAAAGGAATATAAGCTGTAAAACTATTCATACTGTAACCTTGTACTTTTCAAACTAAGAGTCACGGACCTGGTGGTGTACAACTGGACTGCAACCAGAACAGCTCATTAGAGGTATTTCTTCCAGTCATCCAGGGTGAGAAAAATATTTCTGTTCTATCCTATGTCATGGAAATGGAAGAGGCGGATCAGTCTGATCCAGGAATTTTTATGCTGTAGCAGTTCTCCATCCTACACTCCCAACTTCCCTGTGTGTTACCAGTGGAGTGTTAGAGCTGTCACGGGGAATGTGGCTCACAGAAGAGCGAGCTGCGAATGACTGGTCCTGAGGCTGGGTTTGGAGACTTGGGCTGGAGTCTGGAAAGACTGAAATGGCCCAGAGACATTTGGTTGGCAACTCCAGCTGCAGAAACACCCAGTGCGTTGTGCAACGTCTGAGTAAGGGATCACATCCCATCGGCAGTTACAAATGGAACTGGGCATTTTCTGCTATCTCCATATTGTGGGATTCAAAAGCACCAAAAAGATCCCAGAGAACGCCAAATTAAACCAGCCACACAAGCCCGTCCAGCCTGTTCAGCTATCCTGCTATTCTTTGTCGGGAATGCACATTCCTGGATAAACCTCATCTTTCACATCCCTGTGCTGCTCATCCCCGGTGGCTCAATGCAGAATTCAGCTTGCACCCAGTCACTCTTTAGCCAGGACGTTCATTTTCTCCTCGGGCTAAAATTAAGATCGGTCCAAGGCGGGAGCTTTCCCACCATTAACTGCCAGCATAAGCCCACCCCCTGGGAGCCAGACAGAACCAGTCCCTTCTTGGGGCACAGAACATGAAATACTACCGGGAAAATGTTACCCCTGCCACGTGCTTCCGAGTCAGTCTGCCTGGTTTCCGAGCCGTTTTTTCCTGTTCTTTCCCCAGATCCGCTGCTTCCCTAATGCTGTCAAAATAGGGATGCTGCAGGAGCTGCTCACACGTCTGCCGCTCCGCAGGGTCCATACGAAGGCAACTCTTCGAAAAGATAAAGTAAAGGATCACAGAAAACACTCGTTAAACAGGTCTGCACAACTCCAGCTACTCACCGCAGCCAATGAGTATTTGCACAGCTACATGTGTTAATCTTTTTTAATGGATTCTAAGAGCCTGGCTTTTCAGAGTCAGCACGAAGCCTGCAAAGCACCTAATACTGAACAATTGCTACCAGGCAATAATAGAAATTGCAGCTAGAAGAACAGTTAGAATTGCATGGTGTAGCAAACAGCAACCCTCAAAAACCAGTTAAGCCCACAACTTTCATTTGAACTAGAACAACTTTCTTAAACAGGGGAATCCACTATGGCGTGAGCTGTGTTGTTCCAGTATTTAGCACAGCTAGTACTATCCACAGCTGCACCTTCTTTTAACGTCTCCATCCTCACAGTTTCCATTCACTGCATCTTAGTAAGGGAACAGTACATTTTCCACCTCCATGGTAAAGATGAGTGGATTAGAGAGGAGTGGATTTCAAGTCCTCTCCAAATCCCCTCCAGCTCTCCAACCATTTACCAGCTGATAAGCAAAACAGGCCTCAGCGCAGAGCTCCTCCGCTAGCTGTAGTTTTCTTACCTTCATCAGAGCTAAAGCAGAGTACGAAATACTAGGGAATTTCATTTCTAACGGCTCCTGGGGGGAAAAAAAACAGTGAGTGTGCTCATATTAGCAAGCTTTTCATTCACCAGGGTACAGAGAACCTGTACCTCACAAAATGCATCTGTCACTTCATGTGCTTGGAGGGGAGCTGCCTGACATCACTGAGGGTGGGTAGGTTGGCTGCTCTGCCACCAGAAAGGGGGAGACGGAGCAGAGATGAAGCGTTTGACTGCTTTTACCCAGGGTATCGGTTAAAACGTCATGAGAGGGGTTCAGCCGCCTCCAAATAATACTCCAGTGTACATCAGAAAAGTAGAGGGCAAAGCTTTTGGATAGGGAAAAAATGCTGTGCAGCAAAGGACTGGTCAAGCTGAGCAAGCCAGGCCTTCCCAGCTCCACATCCAAAGCAGACAGCATGTGTACTCCGGGTAGAAAGAAGGAGGAACATTTCTCTGTCCAAACACCGTGTCTCCTTAGCACTGCAGACAGATTGCTGGTTAGCGCTAGGCTCAAGGGAAGCACGTCCAGAGGGAGCTCTTACCATGCTCTCGGGGTCTGGAATTCTTACCCCGCTGAAGAACTGGTTGGTGCTGAACACTTGCTGGTGCCTGGGAATAAGATCCCCTTTGACCAAGAATAAAAAAAAAACAGAGTTGGATTAATTTGCTGTTTTTACAGCGCCTGCATTGAACAAGCTTATATCCTCTACCAAGGCTGACACCATCCGAGAGAACATCTAAAAAGATGGAGCAGCATCAAGTGAGCTGATTAAATGCTCTTTTGTGAAAACTAACGTCCATCTAGGACATCAGTGATCCCCCAGCCATGTGACTGTGCTGAACGAAAGGCAGGGCCACGCGGACACAACTGCCCAGGGCCTCATGCTGTAAATAGCTCAAAGAAATTCAGCTGGAGGGAGCACTTTTTGGAGCAGGAGCTCCCAGCAGCTGTGCATCTTCCAGGCTCTGAGTTTCCGCACTGGGCAGCAGAGTGGCTTTTATGAACTCTGCCCACTATAGCTGAGGGCCTTGAAAAATACGTAATTCTATATATCTCCCTGTGCCAAATGCCTAGATCCTACCACTGCATTATTTGGGTAACTGCAAATTTGATCTGCACTAGCAAAAAGACCCCTCGGTAGAACAACAGGGAATAAGGTGGGCAAGGCACTCAGTTCCACAAACATGTCTGCTCAGTGCCAGCACCCGTACCCCCCGCTGTGCACCGGCCGAACTCAAGACCCTTGTGTGGGGGAGCCAGGGAACGTGTCTCGGTGTGATAGCTAGAGGGTGCTGTGCAAACACCTACCAGGACCTGAAACTCTGCCATGCCACAGCACGGAGCTTCAGCTGGGCATCCTTCCCAAAGTGTGAAGCAAGATCAGAGCAGCAGCTAACTCCCCTGCTCACAGCAGACGTGACAGACCAGCCCAGGGCTCTGATGACGAGCTGGCAGGAGCCGCTGTTTGTTTTGGAGGTGGCCGCCTGGCAGCGTGGGCACGCGTTGTTGGAGTGCTCCGTTCGCAGGAGGGTGAGTGGGGCTCTGCTGGCCTGCTCTCCACACTAATGCTGTGTTTCAGTGTTTCCAAAGGGAAGGATTTCCCGAGAGGCAGCCTGTCTGCGTAAACAGTTTTGTCTCTTGGACTACTGGAAGGGGACACGCTAACCACAAGAGTTCCAGCTTCATTATAGTTTAAATCATATTGTGACTTTCACTAAAGTGAATTCACTAAAGTGAAATTCTTTTTGTTCGCTCCTGAGGATGTCGCATAGAAAAGAGCTCAATGCAGCACCAACAGGAACACACTGTAGCTTTTCCCCAATGCTGCTTCATGGCCCTTGTTTGAAGCTTAGAGCGGCTCAGAGCAAGCAAAACGTTAAAATCAAATACGTAACAAAAGCCAAACCACCAGAATTACACAGTTTTGATCCAGGAGCTTTTTTCTGTAAACACTGCCTAAGTCCATCACCTGGATCAAAAGGAAATTTCTTCTGGCCAAAACCCTATCATTAAAAATAAATTACAACTTACTTAACATTGGCGTAAATGTATTCTGGAGGATGAAGCAATCAATGTTAAACTATTTTTCTAGCTACGGAGCTCATCTGTTCAAAGCCGCCAGTCACCGTTATAGTTTTATAAACTGCTCAGTAAAAATTACAATTCTCAGTTCGTTCCAACAAATTTCAATTAAAAGTGGAGAGTTGTTCCTTTCCACCCGAGAAATCAGATGTTACACACCAAGATCAAATAGAATCAATGAGACTGGATTAGTTTAAGTGTTACATGGATAATGGCTCTTTTATTTAACCTCTGTTCCAAACCCGGAGTGGCTCCTAAAATTCCTTTGTGAACAAAGACTAACAAGTGGAACAGACAAACTTCAATGTTCACCCTCTTTCCCAAGCACACAGCCGTCAACGGGCATCGGCAATGTTTACAAGACCCCCCAAAGCTGTGATGAACTAAATCCAACCATTCGTTACCTAGGGGCAGGCAGCACTTTGCTTGGTACCAAACCCTGAAAACCACGTGGATCTTCCAAACCTTTATGCAAAGCATTCCTGGTCCTTTCTGATACAGGCACCTCATTTTTCTGTCTGTGGAAAGGAGAGCAGCAGAGGCAGGTGGCTCTGTGCCTCCTGCAGGGCTGGCCCTGTGCTCCCCACACCCCGGTAGGCACTGAGCCATCCCAAAGGACCAGGAGGGGCATCCAGTGGTCACCTAACACATCCCACATCTTTCTTAAACCACCCAGCACCAGACCCAGCTTCTCAGAGGCCGCCACTGCTAAAGAGAGCGGAAGGATGGTTTCAGGCAGTTTGCAGGCGATGATCCTGCTTACACAGCCCTGTCCATCGTGAGCCTTTCAGCCATGGCCTGGCACTGCTGGCTCATACAAGCTGAAACCAATTCCACCCCCCAGATCTTTTTCTGAAGAGCAGTCTCCACCCACATGGATGCCTACTTCATTTCCCCAAATCCTGCCAGAACCTGAAGCAGCATCTGTTACTCCAACTACACAATCTCCTAACAAGATGCGTATGTGTAAGTTATGCCAGGAAAAACTAGCTCCCTTTTAAGGACAAATAAGCCAGCACCTACTAAAGGGAGAGATCCACCGGGTAAATTCACCTCCTGGCTAATCCCGATTCCCACCATAGAGGAAAATCCTCCTGGGCAAGCTCTAGTCCTGCCAAAGGCCTTGGGAAGATCGGGGCTCTGAGCGGTGCAGAGGGGACACTTACCCAGAGTTCTCCGGATGAGGTACAGCTGGTCGACATCAGACTTGCCAGGCCACAGGGGGACCCCGGCGAGCAGCTCTGCAAAGACGCAGCCTATCGCCCACACATCCACGGGAGGGCCGTACTGGGTGTCTCCCACAAGTAACTCCGGAGAGCGGTACCACCTGGTAGCCACGTAGTCTGTGTAATAATCACTCGGACCAGCTAGGTTGGGGTCAGGAAGGAGAGAAACAAACAGGAACGAGGGATCAGAATGATGCAGAGGAGCTGCCATCTGTTGTTACGCGCGTCGGGGCACCTCCTGGGCAGCAATAGCTGCAGGAACACTATGAGTCACTGGCCACTAGCAGAACCCAACTTTGGAAACACTTAAGATTTGGCAAAAATCAAGACCATATTTTCCTCCAAATGAAAATACGCAGAGCTCCACAGCAGGGTCCTGCACCAGCCAGTGGTCAGTTCTCAAAGCTCACGTGATTTGTCTGAACAAGAGCTAAAAAAATAACAAATTAGGGGGTTTATTTACAACGGAAAATGTGAAGCCATTGTTAGCAGAGACAGCACCTTCTGCCAGAGGGGCTCCTCCTGCCAGGGAATTCCAGCTGTGTCTCCAGCATTGCACAAGCCACGGCTGGGCAGCTCCAAGATGCCCAAGGCCGACTTCTATCTACGAGCGCCAGCACCACCAGCAGTTCAGCTGCACCAGCGGGAAGCTCAGACGGAGCTCATTTACAGAGGCATCACGGTGTCTGGGCTAGCTCTGTTTAAGCTGGTTCAGGGATCTCTATTCAGCCTTTAGCAGGGCTCCTCTGTGAAAACACACCAGCCTTTATATAGGATGATTTACATGTGCACTAGACAAAGGCAAGTGAGTCTTTACTGGTGTTTAAAAGCCTGATCCTACGCTTCATTTGAGCTTTCATGTGTTAACAATCCATGTAAGTAGCAAGTTGGCACTCACTCAGTATGCGAGCAAATCCAAAGTCACAAAGTTTGATGACTGAGTGCTTTGTTATCAGGATGTTTTCTGGCTTTACGTCTCGGTGGATGCACTGGAAACAGAAAAAACCCAAGATTAGAAGCAAGTATTTAACCTGGCCTTCAGATAAAGAACCTCTTAATTCAGCCACATACCCCTTGCACATTGTGACAGGCAATCAATCATTCCTACTGAAAGAGAAGATGAAAGGATTTACGTCCTGCTGGGCAGGACAATTACCCTGCCTACACCCCACCTTTGGGATGAGACGCTGTGGAGGCTCCCACTGCATAGCTCTGTATCACTTGGACACCACTGAGTCGGCTCCCCAGAACCAGCTGGCAATCTGCTAGCAGGAGGAGCGAGGTTTGCAGAGCAAAGATTGTTGTTAACCTGGAGCTCTGCAAATGCAACTCACTTGATACAGCTATGTGTAACACACTCCTAATAAGGGACTCGGCTTTATGAATACATGGGGAGATCCTAATGAGAGGTGTGTAGGTCTTCTGGGATCAGTTCTTGGATGAAGTCCATGATCTGTATTTACTGATAATCTCGTAGACAAGCAAATGATTTTGCTGGTGAAGCTCACAGATGAGATGAAGGCTATGGTTTAGATGTGGGACTTTATCTATCCTTGTAGATGCCAGAGCATGCCTGGTGTTCCCTCTACTCAGCACAGGTGAGACACATGCAAAGTTCTGTCTCCAGCTTTGGGATCCTCAGTAGGAGGAAGGCGTGGGTGTACTGGAGTGACTCCAGTGAAGGGCCACCAAAATGATTAAGGGATTGGGGTACCTGACATCCAAGGAGAGGATGAGGGAGCTGGGACCATCATTCAACCTGGAGAAGAGAGGGCTCAGGGAGGATCCTACTAAATACCTGTACAAATACCTGATGGGAAGGAGTAAAGAAGACCGAGCCAGTGGTGTCCAGTGAAAGGACAAGAGGCAAAGGGCACAAACTGAACACATGGGAAATTCCATTTAAATGGAAGCAATGATTTTTTTCACTGTGAGGGCAGCCAAACACCCAAACAGGTTTCCCAGAGAGTCTGTGGAAGCTCCATCCTTGGAGATACTCAAACCCTGACTGGAGAGGTTTCTGAGCAGTCTGCTCTAGCTGACCCAGCTTGAATGGGAGGGCTGGAGTAGCTGATCTCCAGAGGTCCCTTCCAACATCAGCAATTCTGTGATTCTTGGGAAGTGACCTTGCTTGCTGAAGGTTCACAACAATCGAATTTGGGCTTGGCAAAGAGTTTCTCCTGATCGAACTAGCAGAGACCTTCATTTCTTCTGCCTATGTATGAAAGGCGTGTTCTACTGAAATCACCAGGGTCTAGCTCACATTGTCCCTCCTCTACCATCACCTCAGAGCAAACACCTCGGACTTTTCCTAGCTAAGCTGGTGGTAAATTATCATGTCTCCTCCTGAGCACTGAAACGCTGCTTGTTAAACCAGTGTCATGGAGTTCCAAAAAGGGCAGCTGCATAAAACCTCATTACCTGTGATCTACAGCAGGTCAGACTGCAACATCTCATTGTTCCCCCTGCTTTAAAACTCCGTTAAATCTTTTAGACTGAGTGGAGGAACAGAAAAAAGCAGCAAACCAACAAATCTTGGAAGCAGGACAGACCTATGGCCAAGTTCCTGTGGCTCAACTGGACATAATTCTCCCAGCAAAGACAAAACACCCATTCCAGAGCAACCTCCTGGACTCTTAAATCTCAAACATTGGCAGATAAACAAAAACAGTTTGCCTGAAGAACTTCTCCAAAAGGCTCCTCTCCTTCCCTGTTTCTTAAAGCGTCCCCATTGCTTTCTACAAAATACTTGTTGTGCACACAGCTCGCACCTCCAGCCAGAAAGCAGAGTAAAACTGGTTTACTTTATCTAATTTTTTAAACCTTTTAACTGGTGTCATGATTCAACACCTATGACTATCAATAGAAGGACTTTCTGTGAAATCAGCAGCAGTTTGCTCAGGTCTCAGATGCTCTAAGCCAGTTTTTTAAATGTCAGGTGTAATGCATGGCACAGGGAACACACAAGGATATATTCCTGTTCAGCCTGGAAGCTTGTCGAAGGTCAGTAGTGCAAATCATTCCTTGACAGCAAACCCAAGGGACCTGTGTGATAGCAAATGCAGCTGTTGTGGGTCTACTATAATATTTCAGATACATGTTTCCTGTTGAAAACAGGAAATTCCATCTGACTTTGTCCCATGAAAGGTCTGTAACCAGGAAAATGGCAACAGAATCTCCATCTCCTCCAAGGCCACGTTACAGCAATTGTTAGTGCTGTTCAGGGGACTTACTTACATTGTGTTTATGGCAGAAGTTCACAGCTTGGAGGGTCTGCCAGGTTATGCTCTTCACTACATGCTCCGGCACCCTGTTTTAAGAAAGCGCATTTTTATTTTGGCCAACAAAAACAACTTCATTATTACAGGAACAAGGAAGAGGAGGCCTTTGAGTGCTAACATTGTACAGAGATCTCCGAGCAAAACCATCAGGGACCAAGTCAGAAAACACAGAGAAAAAACACTAGGTGCATTTTCTTGCTATAAATAAGTTACAAGAAATACATAATAACCCTCGGTTCGTTGATCTTCCACTACAGGGAACCAGTCACACTGTGTGGGCTGCTGATGGTGGAGGCTGTTTGTACCTCTTCCCATGTTTCAGAGCTGAGGCTGAGCTCTGCCTGCCACCTCCCTGCAGCAAGCAATGCTCTCCTGTCAGGTTACCCTTCAAGCATCACAGGAGCATCAAAAGGAACATCAAGACCACTTCCAAATCCAGTCAATGCAACAAGGCACAAGGATTTATGGCAGCTAAGAGGATGCCAGAGTGTCTGGCACCACCCAGTCACCGCCAGCATGAGGTGGCTGTGTGCAAGTCTGTGTCAAATCCTGTCCTGTGGCTGTGCTTAGCATCCACACGTCCCGGCAATCCTCCCGAAATGCCAGCAGGCATTTCTGCCTCTGCAGCTGCTCAGAGTTGGAGGTTTTGGAGTATCCACGGTATAGATGCATGACTTGCAATGCTGTCATGTCACTGATTGTCCAGAGTGGAGAGGTGACCAAAATGGAATGGGGAAGGATGTTCCTAGAAGAAAATAAAGCTCTACTTTGGTTTGCATCTCCTCTCCTTCCCTCCAACAGCTGGCAAACACTTAGAATCATAGACTCATAGAATGGTTTGGGTTAGAAGGGACCTCACAGCCCATCCAGTCCCAACCCCCTGCCATGGGCAGGGACACCCTCCACTAGCCCAGGTTGCCCAAAGCCCCATCCAACCTGGCCTTGAACACTGCCAGGGAGCCAGGGGCAGCCACAGCTTCTCTGGGCACCCTGTGCCAGGGCCTCAGCACCCTCACAGGGAAGGATTTCTGCCTCACATCCCATCTCCATCTCCCCTCCTGCAGCTTCAGGCCATTCCCCCTTGGCCTGTCACTACTTCAGAGAAAGAAAACCTCTGTTAAAGATCCAGCCTCCTCTCCTTTCTTTCAGTTACTGTGCAACAGTTCTTAAACTTCCTTGCCTGTCTGTAACAATCATCTTCAACAACCCCAGGAAAGGCAGAGGTGACAATCCTGACACTTTCAAGCTCAAATTCAATTTTATTTCATGTGTTTAAGGCTGAAAAGCTTCCAATTAATCATAAAGAAAAAACCAAAACCACAAACCTAAACCAAAACAATATGCAAGAAGCCTGGCTTTTTCTTTAAGGCACCTGCTGCTCTCAGTGCTGAAAGTCTTGTGCTGACACTGCTGTGGCAATGTCAAGAGTCTCCTTGCAGAAACATCCTAGAATGATGTGAGTGCTGCACTGACAGCCTGAGAAGGGGAGGAAGTTGGTCAAATGACCTGGAAACATGGTGCAGAGAGGCATGTGCTCACCCACCTATAATCCTGACCACAAAAGACTTGACCATCTGCTGTAGCAAAGATCAAAACTGAAATACGCAACCAGGCGTTACACATTTGTTCACACTGGAGTCGTTCTGAAGAACAGAAAGCAAATGTGAAGTATTTTCTTCAAAGAGGGTTATCCATCCTCTCTTCAGATTCCAGGTGAACAGGTTCAAACTGGGGTGAAAGCTGCTCACCAGCTCACAAAGCGATCTGCTATCAGCATGCTCCATTCTCCTTCTAGAGCTCCACATCAGGGAGAAAGAGAGTAGCTGGCTCTTGTTTACTCAACAATTAGTCTCCTGCAGGCAATTCATTTAGCTCCAGGCCTGTAAAATGATTTATGAACTTCTGCTTAGCATTGCCCCAGCACCGAGTCACTGTGAATAATTAGGGACAATGTATTTAGTAGGAGTGTCATTTACAATGTGTCAAAAGAACAAACTCTGTCCTGGAGAATGTTCTTTCTGTCCGTGTAGCTCACACTTTGTGCAAGCACCTGTTTAAAGAAGAGGGTGTCTGACCTCAGGCTGTGCAGAGAGGTGCAGGCATAACTCCTGGTAACTCCTGCCAGCCAACGCGTACTCCTTAGCACAGCAGCATGCCAGAGGGCTAGAAGTCACTGGTCTGTCATATGGATCATCAGTGACATCACTACAGACTGTCTATGTTTTGGGTGCTCAATCACGTCGCCCCAGTGCCCACAGCCTGAATCTGCAGAGCCTCCCAGTGATGTGTAACACACCTGGGGAGCAGCAGGAAGGAGGGCTGCGTGCCCCAGCCTACCCCCCCAGCAGCCCTAACCTCTTCGCAGTGAGACACAAGATGCTCCCGAGCCACTCAGGTTTGCTGCTGCCGAGCCAGCCAAAGATCATCCAAACGTCCAGGCTCAGCTCCAGTCTCCTTGGTGAGCAGCACAGTACAGGAGCACGCATAGGCTCATACGCAATTCTTTTGCATGTCATTGCTAAACCACAGTAACAGAGTAAGTCCTGGGCACTGGGCTGAGAAACCTCTCCTGTAATTGATGAAATTCCTTTAAAAACTCTGCAGAGCAGCAACGACACGGACACCCCCTGACTTCTTTGCTCAAAGCTTCCAGGGACAGACAGACCACTCACCCCTGCGGGTGCTTGTCCAGCTCATGGAGGACTGTGTGGTCGCAGTATTCGAAGACCAGATGCAGCCTCCGCTTCCTCCGGAACACTTCAAGCAGGTTCACCAGGTTGGGGTGTTTCAGTTGCTGTAACACACAGTGGATGGACTGGTTAGTTACTGCAAGGGGGAGTGGGGTAAAGCGGGGGGGGACAGTGCTTTTATCTACAAGGGTCTCGATTCCTTGAGCTGAAATCTTTTATACAAGCACAGCACAACGTGAAGCAGCAGCTCAGCTACAGCTCAGCCTGCAGTGTAGTTATTTTAGGAACTGACTGTAGGCAACAAGTCAGCATGGCTTCAGCGAGTGTCTCTTAGAAAAGATGCTCACAGATAAAGAATTCATCACGGTGTCCACAGCTATTTCAGCAGCGCCTTTCATTGTACGTACCCAGCCTTTGGCTGCACCACAATAAAAAGCAGCTCTCCCCAGAGAACAGCTTGGGAAATCACACACGGTAAGTGCCTGTAGCAGGCAAACACACATTTAGGAGAAACCAAGACCTCGTCTGAAAAGGCTAAGTAAAGCATGTGGGCTCGGCTTCACCAGCTTATTGTCAGAATCTGGACAGGTTAATTAGGAGAATTTTTATTGCTGCTTCTTCCTCTTCCTCTCAATCCACTTCATGTGCTCATACCAGGGCTTCCTCTCCTGGGGAGCTCAGACAGCTTCTTACTGCATGTGAAGCCCAAGTGCTTCAGGGTTGGTTATTCAAATGCACCTTGCAAGAGGCAAGGGTGGACATTACTGGAGCTTCTCATTTTCGATTCTTTTGCCCACATTTTGGGGGAGGGCTGGGAGAGGGCTTGAACCAAGGGGCACAACACAGCGTTCGCAAAAGGAAACAAAGAAAAGCCAGACCCAACTCAGGAATGTTACTTCTTTTCAGATGACTCATGGCACCAATCCCCTCTGCCTGCAGGGACCTGTATCCACAAGGGCTCTGCCTGACCAAGGCTTTAGAACAAACACATTTCTGGAAAGGGCATTGCCTAGGAGTTATGCTAACCCCATCTTCTAATGCGCCTCTGAGCCATCTGGAAAAGCCTGCAAAGGAGAAGGGAGCGCAGAGTCAAGACTAGAGAAAACTTAAGGGGGCTCAACTGAGGAATGCAGCTGTCTGGGGAAGCAGCCAGTTAACCCCAAGATGAAGGATCACTGAAATCCAGGGCGTGAATCCTGGGGTTAACCAGTGAGCTTGAGTAAAAGAGCAAGTCAGTAGAAGACCCCCACCATACCTCATTGTCAACCTGTCACAAGAAGGAGGGACCCTTTGAAAAACGTAATTTTAGTCAAGCATGTCACTCTAAAAGCTCCTTGTAAAGAGAGGCCTTCCAGGGAGCTCACTGCCTCTGGGGGACATTATACTGAACCGAAACTACACTGAGCCCATGTGCCAATGCACAGGGTCTCCATTAGTGTGCAGAATGTGGCTACTCCAGTCCTGCAAACTGGCAGCAAGGACCTGATCTCTCTGAAGAGCACCTCCTACCACATACACGTCTTGTTCCTTCAATCCTGCCCACACCACATAAGCCATCTGCCAGCACCAAAGGCTTTCGCACCCATCTGGATCAAACCTAGGTGACAACCAAGATCTTCTGATCACTTCCTCATCCTCCATGATGAGTACTGGTAGGCCAAGTGCCTTCCCTGTCCAGCCCAAGGTACCTGGCAGTGTCAGCAGGGGCTAACTGCCAGCGTAACCTTCTCTGCCCTGGCCATGGCTCCTGACCTCGCGTAACGGACGGACTTTCTCTGCACACCCTCAGTTCCCATGGCAGAGCTACTAGGGAAAGCACTAAAACCACAGGGCAGGAGGCTTGTAACACCTCCCAGGCTTGGTATTTATCTAGTAGTATCTCCATTCTCGTCATCTCCTTATGCACTTTGCAAAAGATGATCAGATACAGAGAACAGCCTGCAAGACTGCTGAAAATCCCAGCAATGACAGCGATTCTCCCAGGAGTTGTGTGCGTACCATGCCACCTATCCTGTTAAGCATATCCACATCGAGGAAAGTACCTACTTGGCACAGGCACATTAGACAAAGCCCGATCTATCAGTTCAGACTCCACCAGGAAAGTCAGACAGCTGCCATGGCTCTGGTACTGTCCCTTCCCTCACCAGTCAAGCGGCTCCTGATCAACTGCGTAAAGTGGATCCTTCCCTTTCCATGCATCGGTGTGTTGGCATATTATGTTCTCAGAGATCAGCGATAACAGAGACATCTGAGAGCAAGCTGGGCCTCCAGCCACTATGCTGGGTAACAGGCGCCTGGTTCCTCTGTTGCTCTCAGCAGACCTGCCTGCCAGCATGGACAATCTGCTGGGCACGGCCCAGCCTGCCAGCGGGAAGGAGGCAGAGGAGACAATCTCTGCTGTGCTTAGATTCCACTTTCAGAGACAGATGAGGACGAAATAATTGCCAACTGATTGTAAACCAAGAAGAAAGTTAAATAGACAATAATAGATTGAGATCTCTGGAAAACCTCTGGCAGTTACAGGTTGGTTGTATGAGTCAGGCTTTGGGAGCGACTTTCACAGGAGCAGGCGGTGCCCAGGGGACAGTCTGTCCTGGCCGTCCTCACGTGTGTGGAGCTGGGGTTTCTGGAGGGAGAGAGCCTGGGCTTGGAACCACGAGGTCCAGCTGAGCTGGGGACATTGTGAGGTGGCACAGATGTGTAAACCAGCACAAGAGTGGGTTAACCTGCTTGTGCAGGACCTGGAGAGGGTCCCCCGGGAGTAGGCTTGCCACGGCATCTCCCTGTGCCCTGCTCGCAGCCAGCCTCCGCAGTCAGGGCTCTCTGGGCAGTCGGGTTCCCTGGGCCAATGTCTCCTGTACATGCAGACGTGCACACAAAGGCACTGTAAATCTGCCAGCGACCCTAACAATGTCCCTGTCCGGCGGTGCAGCAGCGTTTCAGAGAGCAGTTTCTAAGGCTATCAGTGCTGCTGGCGGCCAGTTGCTGGCAGCACCGGGCTGGGGTTTACCCCCCCTGCTTGGGTGACAAGGCCATGCGTTGCCTTCTGCACACAGGCCAGATGTCTTGCATGGGCCTTTCCTCAAAGTTATAAATGCTCCCATGCTAAGATGAGAGGGGTTTTTCTGTTTTGTATATGAACACAGCTTTGCATTCTATTTTTCTCTCATCTGCTTTGCAATGTCAGAGCTAAAAACTGTGTCAGCCTCCACGTGAGGTAGAGGAGAGAAGCTCCTCCTGGAAACAGCAGGCACCGATGGGTTTACACACAGACTCGCGCTGTTTTCACTTATTGCCAGCTTTTCCTATGGAATTGGGAGCACACAGGGTGTTTCAAGCCTCTGCATACTGCCCCGCTCTCCAACCTCACCTCCCATGGCTCCTGGCCATAAAAAGCCCTTTGTCTACAAGGTATTTGCTGTGCAGAATAATAATTTATTGGGCCTTACATTTTTTACTGATGAAACACAATCTCACTACATCTTTGACAAACACTTAGTTGTTGCCTAAGCCAGGAAATACCTCAACAAACAAACAAACAAACTGTTACTATTTACAGAGCAAAAGTTGAAAAGATAGTCAAGCAGGCCTGCACTTGTTAAAATCAACAGCGCCCCGACACAGCTCTTGCCATGGCTGGCGGCAGTGGTGTTGGCTTTGTACCCTTAAGGATGATGCATTTACTATCAGCATTACAAGTGACTTCTGCAGTCATTATTTTCCTTTCCAGATCTTTAATAAATCTTAATGCATCTCCAGCATTGTTTAGTGGAACAATACAGCTGCATGTCATCAGTTTGCTTCAGATGGGAGAAAAACTTAGGCTGCTTCTCCCCAAAAGCTAACTGAAAAATAAATATGTTTTTTTCCTAGATGACGGCTGTTCTAGAACAGCATTCAGGCTTATTTGGCCTCTTTCTACATCAGGTAGAGAATTGGATATTCATATTCCTTTGACAATAACATGTACATCATTTTTTTATATATGAATGCTCAATAAAAGACAAACCAATTGCACAAAGATACTTTGGGAGAAGAAATATCAGAAATACCGCAACCTGCTGAAATCTTGCACTTAACTGCAAAACTGAAAGTTACTTGGTTCCCAGCAAGGAAATTAAGGTAATTCCATGGAAGGGAACATTGAACGCAATGAGTATCAACTGCCAGTACACAAACAGCACAGGCAGTGAAGTCTGGGAACGATGTCATGCAGAAAGCAATCAGAGACCAAGGGACTATGAATTTTGGGAAAGAAGGTTCACATAAAATGGAACATCTTTCTCTGTGGATTTCTGGATTTCTGTAGGGTTTTATTAACTCCTAAGTCATTCACTGTCTACAAGAATGCATTGTTTCTAGTCTTAACAGCATGTTTCTTGTAAAAAGGAGTCCTATCAGAAGTCATTTTAAAATTTATAATAAGCCATCATGTTATTAAAATTGTTCTTTAATCAGTTCAATGCTTTAAAGCTATGGCTCTTCTGCACAGAAAAGAGAAAGCTGCAGATGGGGAGATGATGGAGGTATATATGGAATCATGAGTACCCTGGAGAAAGAGGAAAGGGAACAACTCTCTGCTTCTTCTAACACATGGGGGTACTGCATGCCATCACCCAGTAGCAAGTTTATAATAAATAAAAGGAAATATTTTTTCACAACACCACATTCCTGAAGTCATGGCACTCACTGCCTCAGGAAACTATGGAGACCAAATGAATACACTAGTTCAAAAAGAGATGGGACAAACTCCCAACAGTGTACGGGTGTCTGCCAAGCACGAAGCAATGGGTATAACCCCTGGCTCTAGAAACTCTGCCTATAAGTGCGGAAGAAAACCTTACCCCATCGTCTCCCTTTTTTTCCCAGGTTTCTCTTCATTTCTGCATGCTTGATGGACCCAGGGTATAACTCACTGCAAACGTTCCATTTTATCAGGAAAATAAACACAGAAGCTGAGTGATCCACTTCTATGTGAGGATGAGCGCTCACACACAAGTCATGAAAGGATCAGCAAAGATGAGGTGCTGCCATAGTTCACATGTGCCAGTTCTGCAGTCACTTCCACGTGTGAACACCTCTAAGCCCACACAGCCCCCGGCGTTCAATACATGGCTCGATCCCACCTGCCCGTCT